TGAGGAGTAAGAATATATGTTTTTTTACATTTTTATCACAGGTATATGCGGTCTGAACTGTGATGTATTCATTGTTTATCAACACCATTTACCTGTGATTTATGAATGACATGGTTCGCTTCCAATTGGATCGGGAACTCAGTGCCAAGTTCGGAGGAGAACGAGTCCATCGGGGACAGAGTGCCAGATGTCAAGATGATGCTTCTAATGTTTTGTAAGTCAGAGAATGCCTGTTGGGGTCAGAGTTTACACATTATATACAGCATAGGATTTCACAATTATATATAGACAATCAATTTAATGTAATGTAGTTGAATTTATGTAGTGTTTTACACCGGAGTCTCAAAGCGTTCAAAGTATGGAATACCTCATACAGTAACTTTCTTCTCTATGGCCAAATAAAAATGTGGAATGAAAAAGAAAAAAATAAATAAATAAAGGAATTTAAAAAAAAACCCATAACTACAAACCCCCTCTTGACACAGCCTAATGCTGAGGAAATGAGAGCAATTTCATCGCAATACATATGATTCTCTATAAGGCAATTTTTATCATCAGACTTAGGAGGGAGATTTGTTGTGATAACAATCCTGACATTTACTGTGATTGACTGCTCAATCCCAAGATTGGATGTCATAACCAGCAAGCTAAAACCCACCAAATGATTAAAATAATTGTTGGCATTTACTGTATTTAGTTTTCCAAAAACATGAAAAGCACACAAATATTATTTGAAACAGTAATAGGTACTCATCCACTCCTTGGTGAGTGTTCCCAATCATGGAAAATAATTCAGCATAGATCGAACACATATCAACATGAAACATTAATGTCCGACCAATTTATACTCCTCGATGGACAAAATCTACAAAATGCTTTGCCAAAAACCAGTGGCCGATTGGCCAATCTTTTAATGAATCTTTCCACTAAGTCCCACTCTTTGGATATTGTTACCAAGTTCCCACAAAATGACTGTTAAAACATACACAAACACATGTGTTTGTGGACAACATGTGTCATTGTTTAGACAGACACATATTCCTGGCGCTGTTGTTATGACTGGTCAGTTGCTAAGTTTGACCGACACATTCCAAAAAAGGTCAATTGGTCACGACCGATAAACCTCTGGTGTATTGCGCCATTTCAGAAAAAATAAAAAATGGTAATTGAGATAACTTCAAAACTAAACAAACAATATTGTTAGACTACATGCATAAAGTATAAATATGCCATGTGAAGTGCTCAGAATTGTATTGGATAGTGTCTAATACCAATGAGTGTCAAAAATGCAAGCGTTTCCCCAGTACCCATCATTTAGTTTATACTGGATTGGTATCGATCCCAGTCCACCCTACCCAAGACTAGCATCAAATTCAAACTCCCAAATTTTTTTTTTTTTTTTACGGTTGAGACCCCGAAATGCAACAGTTGCCTTAACAGGGAGGTTTTACAAGCTTACAAAAACAATAACCAATCTGGCAACAGTAGCATATCTCTCACAACATAGCCATCAATGCCTTTACAATAAATCAACGATCATTTTATGCTCTTTTATGTATTTTCAAGGATGTTTTAGGCACAAATGACGATAATGAAGATGATATAATCATATTCGTTATCATTTTCATAAGGTTGTGAAAACTCTCTCATGGCAGCACCTACAAATTAAAAATCTTTTACACATATGTAAACCGTAAATAAAAGGATAAGCAACAAGTACAAAAGCGTCTCTTAAAATATATTAAGTGTGTCAATTGACAACTGATGCATCATGGGACAACTGATGCACCATGGGATAAAAGTATAGCAGAAGAATTTGAAATATATTTGTATCATGCACTCTGTATCTTGTGTTCAAATCTGGATCGTTCTACTTTTTAAATAGGCTTCCTCCCTCGGGCCCAAGTCCAGTAAGTTATTATATGGACTCAGAGGATGCAAATTGTCCCCAGGACATTCTTAACCGTCCATAATTTTGCTTATTCTTTTTTTTTTACAAAAGAGGTCAATTAAGAGGCTAAGAGCAACGGAAGTCCTTTATAGCAAAATTTATGAGAAAGTCTATTCCAATATATATACTTCTTAGTAATATACCGATAGAATTCTGAAAAGGAACACAAAAAAAAGTTTAGCCATGCCATACAAACTCCCTGGTTATGGGTCATGTCCTGTATGTCTTTAAGAATTACATTATATTTAATATTGGAGAATAATCATCAATTAAATTAACTTCTTACCACAGCAGGATTCATGCACCAGAAATTAAGTGATACAGTGAATGAATGTTGATTGCCTGAGAAAATTAAGATACATATTGTTAGAAAAAAAGAAAATAAAGAGTGTAGCAGTTTTATATGTACACCTTATTCACTTTTACCACAAGCTGGAGAATTTCAGAAGACTTTATGATGGTAGCTGATGTTTTAGATTCTGCTGACTCAGGTCAGCACTCCGTCCTTGTTCTTTTGGTGAGTGATTGTGGTCTTTCCCTGACCCCGAGACCTCCACCCACACCTAAGCAGATGCCTCTATACATTTTTCTGGACATACATAAAAATTGTTTACATATATTATGGTTTAACATACTAATCATCAAAGTTATATTTATACCATGTTGTGTAAATAACAATAAAATAATATCGTATTATATCATATCACATACTGCTTCAGTATTTTGGTTTATAGTAATTTTTGCAATTGAGATAATATTCAATAATATTAATAATATTCATAATATTCTGTAATATTCATCTTACTTTTTCTTCTGCTCATCCATCCATGATTCTGAAAATCAAAAAGTATGAATTTATGGAATATTTACTGTACAATATGATGTTTTCCATTTGCGAACAAATGTGGAGTGTTAACGCATCCCATTAAAAATAGTGCAATCCAGATGTTGTATGTATTGAATCATAAACATATGTAAGCTTTCTAAAAAGGAAACATGTTGATACAGTTATCTAAACAGTATATTTTGGTTGAAAAAGTAGGGTTGCATCTGTAAATATAGTTAATGCATTATGATTTGTGTTATTAATTATGTTTATTGTAGAAGTACATCGACTGAATCATTAAGAGGTTGCAGTTAATCATCTTTGTCAGAAATTTTAGTGGGATTTTGAAAGTGTCGTAATTATCTATGTACGAAGACAGTAAAACGCAACATGTACAGTATTGCGCCAAAATGTCTAACAGTTGAACTCACTGTTGTGTAAGGTTTCCTTGATATCGTCCGCATTAATGCAATCCTGATAAAATAAGTATGAAAACAGTCAACAAAATTTATATAATATTTGAATAATAGTCATTCTTAAATACATATTTATATGCACAATGCTATCCTGGAATTATTCCTTATTTGCATATTCAGTCATTAAATCCCAATTTGCATATTTATATAGTTCTTAACATACGTGCAGGTTGCCCAAACACTGATATGCAAAGCAAAGCTGTTCTAGTAAAATTTTAAACACTTTATCATCAAGGCTGATTTGCACATTCAACTATTAATTATATCGTACACACAGCAAAACCATTCTAGTAAAATTTTAAACACTTCATCAAGCCTGATTTGCATATTTAACTATTACTTTGCAGCAACCACAAAATTAACATTTATTTTCAATCAAAATTTGTTCCCTATATTCTACTGACACATACATCACCCCTGCTACTCATCCTCTGGACAAGTGCATAAAGTCAGTTGTACTTTATCGTCTCTGGAACTCATTGTCCTGCAGCTGGTCTGATAATTGCTAAAGTAACTTTGTAATTTAACACGAGAAATTCACTTACTTGTAATCTTTCATGAAGCGCATGTTGTCACGGAAAAGATACTCAAAGATGAGAAAGAGACCTTCCAGCAGACTGGCGACGTTTGAGGGCAACGAGTGTTCCGCATCTTTCTCGTTCTCCTCACACAGAGCTGATACATGATGCTGAAAAATATAAGAATAATAAAGTAAAAAAAGCACCCCACAACTTTGCGTTGCCTAAGTGTGAAAGACCCAAAATCAGAAAACCAAATATACTGTTTAGAATATTTTTTATCATGTTTCCTTTTAGAAAACTTTAGAAATTTAAACTAGTCATATTAGCCATAAACTCCAAATATGTATCTATTATTATCTGATATTTCAATTATAATAACAATATGTGAGGTCTCACCACGAAATAAGACGCATCGTTGGTGAAATCATATTGAGATATTCACCAAAATAGGTCAAGGCAACATTTTTACAAAATTTTGATTTTAATGTTTTCGAATAACTTGATACTTATATTTTATGACTGTGTACTTAAGTGAATTTTCTTACTAAAACAGTATTCTCTTTGCATATTCTGTAATTCTAGTCCTATTACTTGTAGAGGTTAGTTTATCTTTGATGCCGATTTTCTCAAAACCTGGTTCTCATACACCTAAACTTTAAATGCTAACATCTCTGGATGTATTTATCCCAGGGAAGCCATTCAAAGACCAAATTAAAGCTTATAATGTGATCTACCAAAATGTAATATTAACTCATTTTTTGATTTTCTAACGATGAGACTCATTTTGTAGTGAGACCTCACATATAATTATTAACAATAACGTAACAATTAACAATAACAATTAATAATAAAGCATGGTCTGTATCTGATATTTCAATAATAATAATAATATAATAATTATTAACAATAATAAAATAATTAACAATAACAATTAATAATAATGTATGGTCTGGTCATTCAATTACCATATTTATTCAAATAAATGCCCTGAGGCATTTATTGTTGAGAAGGGTTTTTAAGTTTATTCAAGGGACGCGTTTTTTTGGTGTAAAATGGATACGTACTGTATATTATACTCCTGCCCCTTAATTTCACTGTAAATGTGAAACTACAACACATAATTACCGCCGTCAACTTTGTTACTGTGTGATCAAAAATAGCGGCTACCAACCAGGCTAGAAAAAATGTAATTCTACTGAAGTAGAACATTAATAGAATGTGTTCAGAATGATGTTGCTTTTATTAGTTTTGTTTACAGTCATTTAGGGGGAGGGGCATTGATTCGTGGGAAAAATAAACACTTTGGTGTGTTTATTCGAGGAAGGCGTTTATTCCAGGTTTTTTCTTCTTGAGCTAGGCTTCAAAGTGGGGCATTTGAATGAATAATAGTAATATAATAATTAAAAACACAAGTTTGAAACATGGGTAATTTATCACTATAATTTCATTATAATAAAACTAAAATAACTTACAACAATTTGAGGTACATTGTCAGGTGTAATGTTGACATTGTGAAGAATAGCAACCATTTCCACACCTGTCCAGATCCGACTCTCTCGCTCAAAATCGCAACGATTCAAATTACTGGCACTGCTTTCTATCCACTTCAGGAGGTTAGTCAGCTAGTTAAAAATATATTTAAAATAAAACCATAAGTTGCTATTTTAAAGTTTAGAGTTTTGGTGTCTTATGAATGTTTGTTTTATAATTATAATTTTTTTAATTTAATTATATTAAAAATAATACCATACACAAACACTCATGAGATCTATCGCTTAATTAACGTGACGTCATATGATGCACAAGTAACATCATGCATAAGTCACATGATGTGTAAATCACATGATGCACCAGTCGCAAGATGTGCAAGTCACATGATGCGCAAGTCACATGATGCACCAGTCAAATGTTGCTCAAGTCACATGATGTGCAAGTCACATAATATTCAAGTAATTTAAATTTGAAAAGAAATTTAATTTATTTTATGAACTTCATTACTACTTACTAGTATAAAGATTTTTTGTTAAGATCAAAGTTGTAAACACTGGATTTTTTGGGGGTTTTTTTGTATATAGATATCTAGGTATGTCAGGTCTGATGTTGCCATCAATATTGATGAAAGGCGGCCACAATATTTATATTTATTTAATTTATAAGCCATAAAATACATAGCGACACGGTTGCATTAGTATAATTTTATATAAGTACCAGCTCAAAATAATATATTATACAGTAGCCTAATGGCTAAAATATTATCATTACTGTTTTGTAAATATATTTTAATTCAAAAGTGTTATATATTGTATGAGAGAAAACTATACAGTTTGAGACTTACGATAACACGCATGAACTCGCAATGAATTACACGCCACTTCTCTTTAACTGTAAAATACAATTCAAAAAAGCGGAAATTAAATTCAACAGTAAGTGGCAATGCTTAACACACTGCTAGGCTTGACGAGCGAATTTTTCACAGGTTCAGTGTCGCCTCGCACGTTTCAACAGCCAAGAAATGTGTTCCGATTGCTCCATAATGGACACATCATTTGGGTTTCAAGAAATTAGGGAGGCCAGTCACCCAGAAGTTCTAGGCTAAACAGGAAATGTACAAGCTCCTGCGATGATAGACACGAGCCCAGTCGATGATTGGCAAATGTGCCAAGTTTGGCACCTGACCGAAATGTACACCCTTCTGTACTTGGTCAAGGGGTAGTGAGCCTGTCAAAGAAGAGAAATGATAAAGAATGGTTTGACATTCAAGGCTTTAAGTAGGTTTGTCAAGATTTATCGTCCTAATTCTTCACCAACTCTTGATGACTCAAAACACAGCTATCCAAATTATTTTTTAAGTGACTTTTATTCAAATTCCATTAAGAAATAACATTTTAATCATGAGTAATTTAATTTATTTATTTCAAAATTACAATCATTATAATCAGCCTTTCTCTACAGGCTTGAAAAAATAGTAAGTTCATGGACATTTGTTGACAGAACATAAACTTCTTTTCTTTTTATTTTACTCCTTTCTACTCTACCCTTCTCAATTCAATCATGAAAAATGAAGCATAAGATTGTAAGTCGTAAGTAATTATTTTACTTTCACTATAGTATAAAAATGAATACAATAGTTTTAAGTAGAACCATTGTAAACAAGGTACTGTACTGTGAAATGAGCTTTTAATGTGGACTTGTGTACATTTTAATAAACATTGAAACTTGAAATGTTATGTATTTATACATTTTTTAATCCAAATACTTGAGCCCTGTCTAGATTATCTGTTATTAGTTTAACTGTTGTATGCCCATATATAGTCATGATGTGCCTATATATGGTCATGATGTGATGTCATCATGACATATTTAGGCATGTCACATGTTTTTGTCAAATACAATTTGAAAGTCTGGACAGGAATTTAGTCCAAGAATAAAAAATCAGATACGGTCAACTTTTTTTGTATTTATAAAACTCTTAAAGAATCCATCTTAGTCCTAAGTTTCTATTGTCAACACAAATACAACTCTGCACAAACTTTTCAAACCACAGAAACAAGACTGTACTGTAGCCAAGATTGAAGAATCATCAACTTCACTGCAAAACTTGATTTGAGTGAAAACCATATAATCTGAATTTCTCTTAAAAGCTGGATAAGATCGTAACTTGCTTTGATACCGGGAGACAGATGGCTGTGTACTATTGCACAAAACAAATCTAATTAGGAACAATCCTTTTGAAGAAACATTTGATTGGTAAATTAAATTAGCAAAATAAGCTACCTTCTCAATTGGAACAACTATGAATGAGTTATAAGTACGTACCCTGTCGCTGATTTTAGACTGACAAGGATGTAAGAATGTTTGGTTAGAATCATGGGACATTGACTCAAAAAGGAAATTGATTAACCATTAACCTAATTTATTCTACATAGGTAATTTAATACTGTGAACGATTATGAAGCAATAAAAATAAAGTTAAACTAACTAACAACATTTTCATTGAACCCTAACACTAATGCTCTATCAACACTATTAAATAAATGTGATATGCACATATTTGGGTGTAATATGATATATCACGCCCATATATGGCCACATCACACAAATGTGTCATATAAAAAAGTGTGGACAGATCCTTAAAATAGTAATAAATATAATTAAAAATACAAAATATAATAGCTTGGTTTTTGGCCTGGGATAAGGGGGTGGGGAATATCATGCAAAAATTAAAAATGCAGTAAATACCTATTCCAATGATAACTTTGTATTTTTAGTATTTTAACCCACTTACTGGAACAAATTTGCTGTCACTGGGGGTGTGTCTGTAGTCTCCGGCACCCCCAGTATACTCACTAAGAATGTAATAAACTGAAAACATTAGAGTTTTAAAAACATATTACTTTTATATTTTCTTTCAGATGCTCAATGTATGTCCCGATTTGAAGATCTATTGTATATGACTGACCAAATTAAATGGCAGTCAAAGACTGGTACATGATCGTATGTGAACATTTGAATGCTAAATGTACAAGCGACACATTGTGTGACTGGGCCTAGGAAAAAACTCGATCCCTAGGGTACAAGCAGCACACTTAACTTCTTTTGCACGACTGAGTCTGGGGTAAAATTCACTGGGGAGGCCAACTATTACTGCACATCTGTGTACTGTTTTACATATTCTTTGGCCATGGTGATGCATATATTCTGGCTATCTATTATGCTATTATCTGAAGGGTGGCTATATTTTGTGTATTCCTCACCTGTCAAAACGTTTTAATAATGTGTAGGTAAGGAGAGACATTTTTATACCTTGTTTTGGGAACTTTTGTTTTTTATAAATCGTCAGAGGAAAGCGAAAAAAAAAATTGTTTTCTTATTTAGCAAAACTATTTGCCAAAAACCATCTAGACGAAGGAGAAAATAAGAATAACATTTTATTGTTGAATGTAAATAGTGTAGTAATGGGATGGTTAAATGCTTTAAATTTATATAATTAGGAAGGAATATAAATCTTATTTTTGGAGATTTCAAGGTAGTGTTAGGTGTAATGAAAATAAAGAAAAACTTTAAATTTTTTTTCTGAAATTTCCATTTTTTTTGTGGCTAATTGGTAAAAAAATATAATTTTATTTTTATATGAAATCATCATTATTGGCGGGCAGTGGGTTTGCTAAACAAGGAATAAAAAAAGTCTTGCCTAAGCATTTGTGTAAATGGTGACATTTTTCTGGTATTTGTGTGGTAATATTTGTCGCATTCTACATTATTATCATTTAATATGATGAGGAATAAAAGAATACAGCTTGCGGGTTGGTGGGGTTGTGAAAGTATATGATGCAGGAGAAGGTTGTTGGGCTTTAAAATGTCAGAGTGTGAGGAGTTCAATTTCAGTACTAGTCAAATCGTGTCTCCAAGACAACTTATCTACAGAAATTTGTTTTTCTCCCTCTAGAAGTACTGTGTTAATAGTACCTGGTTGGGTAATAATATCGGTCTAGATAATATTTTACTGTTTATTGGTTTCAGTTGTTCTGACTAGTATCGTTTCAGGGGTTAATATTTTGATGTTATTAACAAGCTGGGTCTCTGTATATTTATTGTAATATGCTTTAATTAGTTAAGAAGTGCTCCGATTATGATGACAAAACATATTTGACTGTTGGGGTTCTTCTGTCAGGCTGTATTTGTGTTTCTTCTATCAAATTTCTTGTTTATGACTTCCACACGTTTCAAAAAATGATTCATATGAGAGTTGGTTTCTTTGACTCTTTAAATATCAGCTTTATAGTGACTAAATGACCGGCAGTTGTATCTAGATTTCACATTTCTTGACGCTCCCGTGCGTGTACGTGCCACGTATCAACAAGCCAGTCAGATTCAATCTCAATTCTATCTTTTTTTTTCGGGACTAGAAGTGCGTTTGCTTGTGTCATTTGTAATTTCCCCCTATGCCATCTTTGTTTAAGCTTTACTGGACTCTCTGGTATAGGTTCAAATTTGCGGTGCATAGCGTAGTGTTCGATCTGGTACATCCGACTTTGTCATTTCGTAATCACACGCAAATATATGTCATGTGTTTTGGCTATGGCTTATCAGTGTTCGCATGCACGATAAACTTACTAAAACGACGCCAAATAGCTGAAGAATACGCATGTTCTATCAAGCCTTATTAATCTGGTGTTTGTATATTTTTTAGGTGGTTTTGTTTTATCAGTCAGGATCAAAATTTAAATAATGACCACCTGCCAAAAAGAACGGATCAAATTAATATCTTCCCACAAAGTTCAGAAAAAAATTGTTACTCGATTAAATTTTACAACTTACGTTGAAAGTGAATTTGATCGACCATTTTACGCAAGTATAATTTATGACAACTATGATTAAACATGAAATCATCATTTCTTGATATTTCACTTAAAGTCAAATATCTTGTCAATCATAAAAATAATTTCAAATAAGTTTTGCTAATCTAATAAGTAAAAAAGGTCGTTATCAGAACTTTTAAAGCATTAAAGCTGGTAATTTAAGTTGTAATCGTTACATGGTTAGATGCATTTCGAAGGCTCAGCATAAAAATAGCTACTTTACTTGACATAGAGTCAAAAACTTGGTAATACCAATTATGGTTGTGTCAACAGACCCCTTTCAATGTTTACACTGGCCTGTCTGAAATGCTGGTGGTGCACTAAACTCCAATTCAATTCAATAAGAAATTATAATTTTTCTATTTCTATTCAATTATTAAAGTCATTTTCGTCTTATCTCTTCAGATGTTGCAAGTGCAAGCACAGACTAGAGCTAGGAGGGGTTCTGTCTCGGAGGACAGTTTTGAATTGGCGATCACCAGACATATGGTAAATAACAATCACATTCCGGATTGGAAATACCACAAGGTACTAGGAAAGGAAGCCGATCTCGAAAGTAGAAGGAATAAAGAATCCATATGGATCAGGAAGACAGACAGACAACATGAATAAAGACGAGGGTGCGCAAGCTGGTAGATTAATGTCTACATTCCAGTCATTTGAAAATGGTAGCTGATAGCGACAGAACTGTCATATGCAAGTTTCAAATCGTTAGTCCATATATTAAAGAAATAACATTATACTAAAACAGAAAAGAAAAACTAGAATAAAAAACTTGACTAACAAAAAACTAAAACAAAAGAAAAAGGTGCTTGCGATGTTATTACCCTAGGTCATTGGACTTTTAGAATGTGCCAACCAATACAAAGTAATTTTCTTTCTAGGAAACATTTTTTACGTGGGCAAATTTTAAATTTGGCATTGTAGACTGTTCTAGGTTAAAAAAAATTTCATGTTCAATTTATGAAGGTAAACATTGAAATGAATGATATAATATGAAAACCACTTGTTCTGCTGACCTCA